ATATATAACTATTAACCCTTAGTTTACACGTATATAGTTTACAAATATATCTTCTAGTGGATGACACTGTAATATCTTCATTAAAAGTTGTCCTTATATATTTATTTTAATTTGGGAACAAAGAAGCAATAAATCTGTGCTGTGTGTCAGTATGTAAGGCATCACAGGCATTCCTCTGTGAGCTGTGCCCCTTTAGCCATGACTATATTGACAATATAGAATGGTCTCTTGTTCCTAATTGCGTAATTGTATGGCATTAGTCACCTCAGTTATAATGTCTTCAGAAACCGTCACAGGCATTCTCGTTGAAGACTGGTCTTTGCCTGATGCGAGAAAATGTGTACACAACTTATAAATACTATGTGATGAACTTATACAAGATAATCAAACAAGATTATTTTTAAATAAATTGTAAATGGAAATACATATTTATAATTATATACATTTACCTGTCTCAAAGGTCAGTGAATTAAGATCAAGAAGAGATGCCTTTTTGCTCAGTGCTTTAACTATCATATCCTTCAGACTTGGTCCTGTAGATGAAACAGCCGTGCCAATGTCCAGATTTCCATCAGCACTGGAAGGTATGGTAGTCTCAAATACAGCTGAGTAAACTGCAGATAGTCCTCCAGCTCTGGATAAATAGAAGCAATGTGCATTTATATTTATTTGTGTAGCAGACGTTTTATCGTAGCAATAGAAACGGAAGCTGATGTACACAAAGACTACACACATTATACAACACACAAAAACACATTATGTAACTTTTACCCTTTAGGTGCTTCTGCCTCACTTGCATGTATGACAGAAAACAGAAAATAATCAAATGCAACAAGACATGCACAAACAGCTCACTAGTGAAATGTGAAAGTTAATGGAAACAGGATAGAAACACAGATAGGCTTGTATTTCAGTGTGAATGTAAATCTCTATTTTCACAGCAGTAATTCAGAGCTCAGCTGATCAGTTGGTCACTGCTGCTATAATTAAACTCATATTAAAAGAGTACACCTACCGAATACTTAACACTTGGACATCCATAAATCCAGGTAGGTCATTAAAAGCATGTTGCATCTGCAAAAAACAAACAAGCATGCACTTTAATATCTAATGTTGCCCATCATATATGGGTGTAGCTATAGGCAAATGTATTAACCAGAACTGCACAATTATTAGGCGCATTACCCTTCAAATTGCGAAAATTGAAATTGCAAATTGAAAATACGCCTAATGGAAACGTGTCAATTTTGCAAAAATGCCCATATATCGCAAAAAAGTTTTTACGCTCATATGAGGTGGTTTTTCAGGCAATGCGAAAAAGGAATAATTCGCAAAACTGCAATGGAAATGTTCTTTTTTTCGCATTTACAGGTCACATGGCGTATGTAAAAAGTCATATGATCATTCTTCAATGTACTATAACCTCCAAGAAACACTTCTTACATGGCTGCTCTCCAGTATAAGGAGCTTTCCCTATCATTAATGCTTAGACAAGTTACACTGCACACGTCTGCGGTACAGTGTGGCTCTGTTGAATAATCTGAGCCTCCTGCCCTCTAATAAAATAAAATTCAAGGGGCTTACAATTTAAATACATGCATGGTTGGAAATACTATTCAAATTTATTGATTTAACTAAACATTTTAGGTTGCAAACATTGTTAATGTTTATTACATCAGCTTGTATAAACTCTGTGTTAATTGATTTTTTAAATCTAGTTCCCAGCATGCTTTGCATAAGAATGCATAAGGAGAGTCATTGTTTTGTGTTGTGGGTGGCTATAAGGCTTTTGACTCTTTATCAGCCTTGTAATCATGTTAATTTACTCTTGCAATGATCATTTCTCCAATGATTTTAAGGGTTGCAGGAACAAATTAGCATGCAAATGGAGAAATGCCCAAATTACATATATTTATGAAAGGAACTCCGCAGAAAATCACAGTATGTGTTATTATGTGCACACTTTGATTCCTCAAAAACACTGAATTCTGGATCATTGTTTGGTTATTTTCACACACCTGATCCTGAAGATGCCTTGACAGGTCATGGTACTGAGGTGAATCGGTGTCTCTCAGTATCTCCTGATACCCATAGTCCATCAGTATAACGCTGAACTCTATGACCTGATGTACTGGCTGCTCAGGAACCACATTGTGAAGATCCAACTCCTACAAATGCATTACAAGAGCTATTTAATAATTAGTGCAAAAAACATGCAGAATTCCCCAAACGGTTTAAACAACTTTCCGGGTTAAATCTTTTATTTTAAACATTTTAACTGAAGAATTCATGCAAGTGCTACAATAAAAATTCTAAAAAACAAATACCATCATCCCTTCCTTCCACTAAACACCTACAAACTGTTCAGAGCATCCTTCTCTTTACCATCCTCCGCCACCACCTTCCTGTTCCTCATCTTCTAGATCTGACTCTCACTCACATCAACAACACATCTCTCACTACTGAAAGGTTTCCTTTTGTGTTTAAGCAGGCTGAACAGGAGTCATTCAAGTCACTACTCACTGAGGTGCATTAAGGTTCATTGTTTTGTCCCCTGTGTTCCAGTTTCCAACTTTACTAATCATTTTATTATTCATTTGTAAATTCCTGTAGATAAAAGTAAGCCAAGGCTTATTGACCTGGTGTCCGTGTCCTAAAATGAAAGCAGAGCAAAGGCTGCATATACTGTAAGCAATAAGTTGTCACTATATTTTAAAAATTAATTTCTATCAACCACTACTGCCCGTTTTGAAAGTACATGTAGTATGTTATGTAAATTGTGCTCCAGACCTGTGAGGCAGAAGAGGTGTCTGTTGTAGTACTGACAGTACTAGACAGATCTGGGGGAACAAATTCTTCTACTGCTGCTTCAGTCAGGACTTCTTCTGACCCTGAACAACAGAGATTGAGCTTAGCTGAATTTACTAAAATGATGAAAACATCTCACTGAATACCAAAAACAATTCAACTATACCTTCCGTTCTTGGTGCTCCATCAGTTGTTGGCTCTTCAGTCATATTTCTACGAATTAAAAATGAATATGTATCATGATATTAGAATAACCATGGTTCACCATTTTTGCTATAGATGATTTGAAGATGTTTCCAGAATATTAAATAATAGTCGTGATTTCAAGTGCAGTCTCACCGTTCTAATTTTTCACTATTCATATTCACCCTCTGTAAAGGAAAAACAAACATATTACAAAACAAATTTTACTTAAACATTTAAAGGAATAGTTCAGCCCAAAATAAAAATGTACTCACCCTCAGGCCATCCAAGATGGGTTTGTTTCTTCATCAGAACAGTCATCTTAAAGTCAAGTCGCCTTTATTTCTATAGCGCTTATACAACAGCAAAAGATTTGGAGATATCACTTGCTGAGCAATGGATGCTCTGCAGTGAATGGGTGCCGTCAGAATGAGAGTCCAAACAGCTGATAAAAACATCACAATAATCCACAAGCAATCCACACCACTCCAGTCCCTCAGTTAACATCTTGAGAAGCAAAAAGATGTGTGTTTGCAATTAACAAATCCATCAAGATGTTTTTAACTTCAAACTGTTGCTTCCATAATATTGCTTTCTCCTGTGAAAACGTTGTCTCATCTGAATCAGGAGATAAATCTGCACGGATCAAGTACCGTTTACAAGTGAAAACAATCCAAAACAGTTCTTAAAAAAATTAGTTTGAAGTGAGAAACAACAGGGGATGGACTCCTTCTCTGGTGGAATTTTGGACCCATATTTTGGCCAGAATGCATTAATGATGGATTTGTTGCATTCAAACATGTAAACGTGTAATTGATGGTCGTATGGATTACTTGTGGATTATTGTGATGTTTTATCAGCTGCTCTCATTCTGACGGCACCCATTCACTGCAGAAGATCCATTGGTGAGCAAGCGATGTAACTGTAAATTTCTCCAAACCAGTTCCGATGACGAAACAAACTCCTTTACATCTTGGATGTCCTGAGGGTGAGTACATTTTCAGCAAATTTTCATTTTGGGGTGAACTATTCCTCTAATTTTTGGCCATCTTACTAAAAACAGAGTTTGAATTATGCTGAGATATTCAGGGCAGCTCTTATTTCACAATCACCCATAGACACTGATAAAAACTAAAAATAGCAACATTTACATAAATCAGACATTTGATTTAATATAATTTATACAAACAAAACACATTTACACTGTATTCGCAAAAAAGTGTTATGACATCTTTTGAATGTACAGTATCGTGTAAATTTTTGATTAGTTTACCCTGTAGACCATGTCTGTGTGTTCTTGTGAATTGCTGAAAACCATGGCGAGATCTGAGATGCACATAGAGTCATGCTGGCATTTGTGGACCCATTTCTGGTACTCTGAGCTGCTGGGAATTCTGTCCAGAAAGATCCGGAAAGCCTCCCATACAGCCTCCTGGCAAACTGACAAGGTCAACAAATAAGTGTTCAGATGAGAAAATCCACAGCATACATTACAGTCTTTCTGGATCTGTTTTGTAGTAAAATATATTTTTCTGTTTTGCTAAATTGCAGTGAAATAAAACTGAAGGCATACAACAGAGGTATTTCATTAATTCATATTTCATAAACAATTACTTGTCTTATTTTGATTAATTATACCCGTTTATTCTCTGTAGATTACATTTTCTGCCTTCAACTGCCTTGGCATATTTCTCTAAATTTAAATACACTTCTCATATATGGATCTATTTCATGACTAACTGTTTATTTATTTATAATTAATAAAGCTGTCACGATCACCAGCTGGAGTGCCCATGAGCTCCACCTTGCCTTGCCTATGTGTTTTTGATCTTGGACTGTTTCCGTGTTTTGATTGTTTGCTGCCTGCCCTGACCTTGCGCCTGTTCGTTGGATTACTCTCTTGGATTATTCTTGGATGTTATTGTTTGCTGGTGATTTCTGACCACACTCTTTTTAATAAAGCTAGCATTTGCATCTTGCATAGCATCTTTTTTCTCTCTCTCTCTAGCACCTACACTTGAAAAGAGCATGTCAGTGAATACGTTTATGTAATTCGAGCATAGTTGTACTGCAAATTTGAACATACCACTTGTTTGATGTACTGTTTTTTCATACTATATGGTAGGAAGGTATGTATTTTATTGTGGTTACTTTCATGATGTACTTACAATGTGAAATAATATGGCTTGCAAGTTTTTGGTCTGTCTATGTCTATGCTACCTTTCCCAAATTGTCACTTCAAATTACTAGCTAGGTTTCCATCCAAAGATGCGAATTTAACTTATGCGCAAAACTGGAATATCGCATAAAACATTTGGGAATAAAGCACCGTTTCCATCCAACGAGTGAAAGAGAACAAAATTGTCACTTCCTGATAAACTGGCACTAAATATCTCTAAGACAACTAGGAGAAACCACTGAATATAATAATTTTCTTATGTAATAAATGACTTGAGCTTCAGAGAGAGCAGACGAAACACAATAAATGTGGTCACTGCTATTAGAGGTGGATGCCTGCTGTTTGGGAACGCAGTCGTGTAAGACAATTATACAGAAATGCTTTGATGACAGACTTTCCTCAGGCATTTCAGAATGACCAAAACAACATATAGATGCAGTGAGCGAGATCGGTCCGCTGGTTAGTTAAGTTATCCCATCTCATAGTGCAAAGTCACATGACTTTTTCAATGCGCAGGGTGGAATTTATTCAGAATTTAATGTGTTTCCATCGTAGTTTATGCACATTTTTTCTTATCGGATAAAACGTTTATCCTACTCAATTGTGCGCATAAAAAGTTTTTAGAATTTATGCGCATCTTGGCATTTCCATCCAGCGGTTTTTTATGCGATAATCCAAAATGCGCATAAAAATAGGTGGATGGAAACATAGCTATTGTCCGTTTGATACGGGTATGTCACTGAAAAGGGAAACTGACAACGACACTTTTGTTTGTTCTTTGTTAATGGCAAATGTATTTCAAAAATCAAAGCTCAACTGGTATGAAATATCTAATGTAAGTGAAAAACACCATTAAAGACGAGGCCAGCAGTACTACTACTAGCACATGCTACAGGCTAATATTTTATATTTAATAATCTTAAAACATTTAACTCATCTATTTTCATGTTTAATCTAAAAGCATGATTTAATTAACTGACCTAAATTTGATTTTAAATTCACAAGTCGGTAGTCTCCTCTATCTGACACACCCATTTCAAGTTGGAGTCTTTACTAATGAGCTGATGACCTGAATCGGGTTTGTTTGATTAAGGGGACATACAAAATGCACAGAGTTTCGAGGGCAGCTTCCAGGAATTGGGTTGAGAGCCACTGCACTAAACAGAACCATTGATGCGTTTGGATGGTTAAACTTTCTAACACAGAAGATATTCCTATGTTTTACCTCTCAGTGTGTAGTATGTTTGGTGGCTTGCTATGACTTCCCTCATCGTCTCCTGCGGACATACTTTCACCTCTGAGTGGAAGAAGTCTGACCTCTTGATGCGATGCTTTTCCATTTCAAATATAGTCCTTATCCCTGAATTCTGCTTTGGTGGGTTTGGCAGGTTTGTTAAGCTGATAGTGTGAAGGGTCTCTGATGGATTTAGCCTGCTTCGGCCTGTGAGAACAACAACAAATATTAATTCGTCAAAAATAAAAGGTTAGTAACTTTTGGTGTAGTTTGCCATATTAGTGCGAAAATATTCTTTAGGCGGTTGATATTTCACAGCTCTCAAAAGTCCTAAGGGCTTTCAATCCACAGTCTTTTGCCAAAAATAGGATATTATGCAACGCTAACAGATTAGTTTCTTCACTCCTGCTTGAAGGTCATTAACTGTTTTAGTGAAAAGAGCAAGCAAATGTACATTCTGAAAATAATTCTGGAACTGTATGGTTCTACCAATACAAATTCTGCCATTTTTTTGCATTTGCCTTATAGGTCAATTTTATTTATTTTTTTACACAATTTAGCTCAGGCCAATCTGAGGACACAAATTGTGTTGTTCTTTGGTGGTAGAGGGCACTACTGGGGAAAAAAAGTCAATGGTGCCCACATGATCTAATCTTCAAATTTATGGTAATTTTCTCCACTCTCCAGTTCTCTTCACCTCTATAGTCGTGTGCGTGGCTATATTTGAAACTCGTCGTTGTTTTACACTTACAGTAAATGAAAACAACTTAAAACACAGTTACATGTTATCCATCAAAACAACATTTTGGAACCTTCTACACATTGAAAAAATATATTGGTTGTCCACTATAGAACTATAGAAATATTTCATATTTCTTTGATAGGACACAATACTAATCACAATATATGCCCAAAAGAGCGTCCTCATTCTTAACTGTAACACTACACTGTAGAAATCAGCCATTTACAAATTTAAACCAAAATGACTGTCCTCATCTACATCTTGTGATAAACGTTAACTTTGTTACCTTGAATTCCTGTGACGGACACAATGAAGAAGAGCAGTGTGAAGAGATGCCCACATTTCAAAGACATGCTGACTTCAAGTCTTACATCTAACCCCATGCTGTATTGAGACAGCACAAGACTTCAGGTGCTAAGTCCTTTTTCGAAAAGCAGGAAACGCCATCATGTCCCTGAACTTGTAGCCAAGCACTGAGACCTGAAAATGCAAATGGAAAATGCAGGAAACTGGAAATGAAAACCGATTTTCGGTGTCGGACAGAAGACAAAACTGTAAACGTAAAAAAGCAGAACGCAAGAGAGAGCGGGGTACTGATAAACGATACTAAGACTACTAAGGTGCAGTCTTGGTGTAGAGGCATGACATTGTGTGACAGATTACGGTGAATGAGTTAAAAAAGCGAGATCTGTTTCTGGAATAATCTGATTATCTGATGCTCAGACATAATCCCCACCTCATCCAATTAGTGGCTTTTCCATTCAAGCATCTGTCATCTGCAGTGCCAGCTCAATCCCCCAATTCATCTTGGGCTGCCGGCCCGTCGCTGACCTCGGGAAGAAGCAGGGCTCACCCCGGTTCTGTTGCATGCAGTCAGGCCTCCCATGTGAGTGCATGTGTGGACAGAGCTGCCAATGATTTCTGACCTTATTGCTGGGTTTAAAGTGGGTGTCCTTTCTCAAAAATGCATGCTATTTAAAGCCTGTTGAGTCTGACTGCTTTTGAACTATGACCACCATGATAGGGATGAGTGAAGGAGAGTAATCACCACTTCCATTGAGAGTCCAAAGACTTAGTCTATAAATACTAAAGCCTTGGCATCTGATGAATTGCATGCTAATTCACTGCAGTTTTTTTTTATATATCAGTCCACAAATCAATCCAATTTTCATGGCCAAGGAATACGTTCTTTAATCTTTTCAGTCTTTAAATAGCAATGCTGTAATATGTAATATAGTTTGTGTATATGCACCTATTTGATCACGGTAAAATTGTAAGGTCGGTAAACGGTTTGTGTTAAGAAAAAATTCAGTCCTTTGCATCCCCAGTTTGAGTCCATTTTATTTGATATTTTATTTAATCTTTAGATGGCACTCTGATCAGAGGTGCAGGCTGGATTGTATTTACAGGAACACTTTAAATGACGACAGAGAGCTTACACTGTAAAAAATGACCGTGAATTTAAGGGTTTTTACCGTAATTTTTTTTAACAGTGTACGATGCTGAGGATGTCAACGCGACTCTGACCCAGACTCCAGGGTCACACTGACTGATACACGTGTGTCCATTTCCGTCAACATATTGCTCAGTTTTTACACTGCTTGACTGTTTGAAAATTAAAGCTAGTGTGTAACAGCAATCTTGCAATAATTTGTGCTTCATCATCATAGTCCACGCAAAGTACATACATCTTACAATTGTCTCTCCGCATCAGCAAAATGAAACAAACAAACAAACAAACCAAAAATCTGTCTGTTGATTTAATCCCGCTGTGTAAACAGAATTCCTGATAAAGGGCTAATGACATTTTGTTAGGAAGTCTAATCCGATTGAACTGTCTTGTTTTGATGACTGGAGAGCTGCTCTCTGTCTGGACAGTGCTTTATTGCTCAAGTACTTACGCTCAAATTTGGAATCACGAAGACATTTTTATGTTTTTGGAAACAAACAAACATACAAAAAAAAAAAAGTTAATTACTGCAACCAGCATGTAAAACCCTAATAATCAAAATTATCAGTACTGGAAATGTGTTAAATATTTTTTTAAATAAAAAAGCTATTCAAATAATCATAAAAATAATCACATCAATAAAAGCAAATAATAAAAAACTGATTTAAAATGAAGAATAAAAACGTCTAGCTATGGGTGGCATTATAGCTCAACTCAGACTCCCCAGTTTGAGTGAAACCTTGCTATTTCTGACTTGATCCTAATAATCTGAAGGGTCTGGTAGGTTTATATGCGCATATCTGCAGTGCATTGAGCCCTAGTTGTGTTCCTGAGCATTCACTGAACTTGCACTATACACTATAGGTGTGCACCAGATTCAGGTTCAGATTCACCAGATTCAGGACAACACTGATATATATAAATTAGTGCTGTCGAATGATTAATCACGATTAATCGCATCCAAAATAAAAGTATTGTTTACGTAATATATGTGTGTATACTGTGTATATTTATTATATAAATACAAACACATGCATGCATATATTTAAGAAAATATGATATGTTTGTATATTAAATATATTTGTGTATAATATAGAATATAAATGTATATACATGTAAATATTTTCAAAATACATACTGTATGTGTGTGTTTGTATATAAGTAATAAATATACACAGCACACACACATATATTATGTAAACAAAACTTTTATTTTGGATGCGA